CTTCCTTCCGAGAAGCTGCGACTTCCTGCCGCGAACCAGGACGGCGCCGTCAACAGGTAAGGCTGGGCGCGCTGCCCGCGTCTCCGGGGACGCCTCGGAGTGGCTGGGGCAGGCTGGGGCAGGCCGCGGCGCCGCGGCAGGGGCAGACGAAGACGGAGCAGTGGCAGGCCAGCAGTAGGCATTGACGCGTCAAGGGGTGGGGTGCTGAGCTGCAGCAGCGCGAGCAGCACTCCACCGCCTCTAGGGCCGAGACGGCCCAGGGAACCTCACGCGAGTTTTTCGAGTGAGCTTACGTTTGTGAATACTGGGGAGCTGGGAATATGGATGATTCCCTGAGAAAAAGTGATTAAATCTCTGAAAGCCCTGGTTTCTGCTGACTTTGAGCAACCACTTCCAAAACACTGCTGCTGCTACCTACAATGCGTTGCCACGGTATTCATTCCCTTTGAGGAAGGCCCTGCGATCGCTCGGCGAGCGGCGGAGCGGAACACGATGGCCGAGTCGGCCAAACAAAACGCGAGTAGGCCATTCAAACGGCCTGCATGCCGGCAACCCGGCAACGCAAGGCAGCGTCGGACCACCCATCAATCACCGGCCGCGAGGGAGTGAGAGAGGAAGAGGCAGAAGAAGAAGGAGGAGGAGAAGAAGAGAGGGAGAGAGAGAAGAAGAAGAGAGCCCCAAAGCAGCTGTCCCTCGCAGCATCCTTCAAAGTTGCCTCGAAGATTATCCATCATGCTTTATCGCCAAACATCTAGCTCAGGCATCTTGCTCAGGCATCCCGACAGAGCCCGCCCTGGCCCGGCCTGGCCTGGCCCCGCGGCCCCGCATAGCCCCGCCCGACCGCGGCCGTCGAAACTCGCATTATTGAATGGGCCGAGTTGCCCGGGTGATAACTCTGCTCCGGCGGCTGACGAGGACGAGGAGGGCCTCATCAAGGACCGAAGGCCCCGCCGCCGCGGTGCACCCGGCAACGCCGGCAACGCCCGCAACACCATGACGCGCCCTGAGCTATTTCCGGCCGAGGCTGCCTCTTCCGGAGACACGCCAATTTCCAGTCGATCAGCTTGCAGCCGGGAAGGGTGTCCCCCCTCCTAGTGCCCCGTCCGCCCCGTCCGCCCCGTCGTCGTGGTGGTGGTCCTGGCGGCACGCAGAGCTGGCCGTACCTTGCTCGCCTCATCATTGACGTACACACTCACACATACACGCGCGCGCACACACACACAGCGCGTTCGACGTATGCAGACCTCTCCGCTCCAGCCAGTAACTCCATCAACAGGGCCTTGCATCGCGCCGCGGCCCAGCCCATTGGCCCAGCCGGTACAGAGAGGCGCCTGATGAATAATCATGACCAGTTATTGCAGTATTGCTCCGCCCCGCCCCGCCCCGCCCCGCCCCGCGCCGCCCCGGTCCGGGACGACGAGCCGGCCCAGCAGCCCAGCACCACTCGACTCGACCAAAGGGGCGGACACGACAGACATGACAGGGCAGGCCGGGCAGGCCGCCCCCTGAATAAATCAGCGCCATCACACACACACACACACACACACACACACACACACACACACGCACGTACAAAATAACCATCTGGAACAAGAGCAGCTAGCGGTGACGCGGTGACCCAGCAGCTTTCCCACCGATTCTTTCCATCTCTGTCCGCGCGCGGCCTGGCGCGGCCGCTGCTGCTTGTGTGTCCCTGATTGTGTTGTGTTTCCATTGTTTTCTTTATTAATCGGTGTAACGGGGTGTGGTGTGGTGGGTGGTGCGGGGTCGGACCGCGAGGATATAATGCTATAAAAGAGCGAGTGGTTCAATAATTGCGAAAGGGGCCGACGTCAGCAAAAACCGCGCCACAGGCCCCGCAGGCCGCAGGCCGGTCGGCAGCTCTTATGGCGTTTTGGGGTTTTGGTTTTTGTGTCTGTTTTTGTGGCGTCAGGCCCCTGTAATTATAGAACAGCCTCCGCGGCGGATCCATCACCTTGTTTTAAAAAGCACTTTGGCACAGCCGCCGCCATGCCCTCGGCAGCGCTCGGCCCCGCCGCCCCTGACGTGTGGAACGTGATGTAGAACGTAACGCAGCGGGAGGTGCCGGAGGTGCGCAAAACGGATTGGGCTGCTGTCGCTGTCTCTCTGTCTCTCTCGCTCTCTCTCGACGCGTCGTCCCAGCGCGTCCCAGCGGATGGCAATGGCTGGCAAGCGAAGACTTGGCTCGCGCAGCTCCGGCCATATTTCTTCATGAGCCGGCCACCTGGCCGGCCACGGTGTGCCACGGTGTGCCAGTGTGCCACGCCTCGCCACGCCTCGCCACGCCCCACGACAACCCGCCCTTCCATCGCAGCACTCACTCTCACACACACACCGAGGCGCGGCCATACAAAACCAAGCAAGACTCCCCCTCCTCCCTCAGGCCCTTCCCCGCAGCCGTGGCTGAGAAGAATATAGCTCTCCAGAGTGCAGCGACGCTGCCGTTCCGAGGGTGCCTCTGGTGTCGTGTGCGTGTGTGTGTGAGTGTGAGTTAGTGTGTGCGTGTGCGCGCCACGCTTCGGCAGACGGCAACACCTTGGCCGCCATCAAACCGCTCTCCTCCTCGCTGCCGGAGGCCGTCGGTCTGTCCGTCTGTCGGCCCGTCTGTCGGCCCGTCTGTCGGCCCGTCTGTCCGCCCGGGCGTGCCGTCGTTTGTCCCCGACCTCTCGTGCCCATTTGTCATCTTGACGCACTTCACGGCCTCAGCCTGCGTGGAGCGGGGTAGGCCGCCGCACGGCTCCGCTGCGCGCCGGGCCTGCCTACCCCGGCCCACGCAGGCGCCCTGCTCCTCCCCGCGCGTCTCCGCGGCAGGGCTTGGCTGGCGCCGCTCTGTCTCTCTCGCACTCACGGTGCGAACCGTACCAGTGCGAGAGAGACGGACGATCGCTGAAGCGCTGCAGGCGGGGCAGGCGGCCGATCGCGCGCGCCATCAAGCGCTGCTGGCGCTGCTGGCGGTGCTGGCCGTCTCGGCGGCTTAGCCTCCCTTTGCCGCGGGCTGGGCTCGGCGCGGCTTGCGGCTCGGCGGCTCGGCGTTAGCGACACGGTTAAGTGTGCCGCGGCTCGGCTCGGCCTCGCTCGGCGCGGCCTCGGATTGGAGGCGGGATTGCAGGATTGGATTCGGATGAGGGAGCCGCTCCCCTCGATTTAGGACCCCACAATGGGCTTCGTGGTAAAAGGGGCCGGGGGCCGGGGGGCGAAGGGGCGGACAATGGGGCCGGCAGAATCAACAGTCATCCCCGCCTTCTTTTCCTCCTTGCGTACTCGCGTCGCACCGAGCGGGCACTGCTCGCACTCACTGTAGGGCCGACACTCGATGGGCACGCCAGGTACTGCTACGCCAGGCTACGCCAGGCTACGCACACCCCGGTCACGTCCCCGTGGAGCCTGGCTGCCCCTGGATGCCCGACGCGATGCCCCGGGCTCGGGGTGTAGCCTTCCCCGCCTCCGCCTGCTCCCGCCCCGATCAAGTCAGGAGGAGGGATTTGTGCCGATCGGCGAAAGATGTGGCCGAGGGGGTGGGGGTGCATAGGGGGCGGGGCGGGGTGCAGGGCGGCGGGGGGCTGGGAGATTTGCCAGACGGGAGTTATAGGATAAGGCGAGAGGTGGCGTGCAGGGCGTGCACGGCGAGCACCTCATCCCGGTCCCCGTGCAGGTGGCCGTTGTTGTGCTGCCGTGGTTTTGCAGTGGTTTTGCCTGCCTCCCCCTATTGGTTTCGCTCCACTCATCCCTCTGCGCGCGGCGCGCCCCATAGCAAAACAAGTCCATTTAGATTCCCTCCGTGCCTGAGCCCGCGGCCCGACGGCCTGTGGCGAGGCAGGGCGCGGGGGAGGAGGGCACACACCATTAAGCCCCGGCCCTCCCTCAAGACCACGCATCCGGCGTGATCTCGCTGACGGGCTGACGAGCCTCACAGGCTGGGCTGCCAGGCCGGGCTGCCAGGCCTGGCCCCGCTCGGCCGTCCACTTCAGGTGAGCTTAAATCCCTCGACAAGCCCATCCGTGGCTCAGGCCGTGGCTCAGCCCTCCCGGTGGCGGTCGGCTTGAAAGAGCCCCGCAACGCTTTCGCTTTTTCAACGCCGTCCGCCGCCAGGACATCGAGACACTCCCCATCCCCGAGTGTCAACAACAAAGAGAGCACAAACAGCGCGGACGAGGACGACGAAGTGATGATGGTGATGATTGGCGCGGTGCCTCTGTCAAAGGGCTACCCCCACGCGCGCGCGGCAACGCGGGAACGCGCTGTCGACCGCACACCGCACACCGCAGGGCTCTCATCACACAGCATCCATCCCCCCGACGGGCCGACGGCAGGCCGATGGCGCGGAAGCACGCGGAAGCACGCGGAAGTCCGGCCACTCGGAGCAGACTCTCTGCCTGCAGGCAGCATGCTGGGCCTGCTCCCTGCTCGGACCGAAAGCCCAAATCCCATCGCCTGCCCTTCTTCCGAGTCAGCGAGTCGGCAAGGAACACGACGCGCTCTGCTATTCCGAGTTTCTTGTTTGTATTTTTAACGAGACGGCCCCGGCGGCCAGCGCCTCGCTTCGCCCCGCCCCGCCCCACCCCGCCCCACCCCGCCCCGCCTCGCCGACCGGATAGGCACCTTCCGTGCACATTTGCATGTTGCGCCCCGCGCCGAGACGTACGCCGGGCTTAACAGGGCTTTACCCAGCTGTTGCGCGCCCCGCCCCGCCCCGCCCCGCCCCGACGTGCACCCCGTCATGGCGCTAGGAGAAGCAACGAACCACACAACGACCCTGCCCCGCACCACCCCCTTTCCTTTCCACCCCTCGGCCCTTCGACAGAATAGAGCAAGCTCCGCTCCTCCCCGCCCCGCCCCGCCCCGCCCCGCCTCGCCACGCCCCGCCCCGCGCGGCAGGTGGGAGCGTCCGGGGCGGCGCGCGGTGGCCGAGGGGAGCAACTTGGCGTAGGGCGGTAGGGCGCAGGGCGGTGTTGGGCGGTGCGACGGGTGCGACTACTCACCAGAGTTGTGGACATCGTAGCCCTGCACCGGGACGCGGCAGTCCCCCGAGTCGTCGCTGTCGGTGGGCTTGGCGGTGGTGGACATCTGCACCGACCCGCCGTCCGCCATGGCGACCCGCAGCGCGGACCACCGTCAGCCGTCCTGGAAAGGGAAAGGGAAAAGTGCAAACAAAGAAAATAGTTGATCTTGATTTCTGTTGCAAGTGCCCCCTGCCCCTTCGTCACCCGGAAGTCTGATAAGCCAGTCGCGCCATCCGGTCAGCCGGCATGAAACTTTCGATTCTGATTGGTAATGACAATCAATAGTGACAACATGCGAAAGAAACATTTTCCTTCCAGTCTTTTCTAGTCAGTACTGACGAAGCGAAGAGTCGGTTAACACTAAATGGAGCACCCTCTGTGGTTCAAAAGCACCTCGTGACTCGATATGGCCTTATAAAACCCGATCTAGTGTGCCCCCGAGACAAGCGCTCACGTTGGTAACGTCAGTAATTTGTAAATATTATCTTGTGTGAAAAACGACTGTTTTCCCTCCTGCGACATGTGTGCACTTAACCGTCAATGATTTATAGATTCGGCAGACAAACGCCCCCCCGAGCAGAACGAGAAAATACAAACCAATGACGAAATCTGTAAAAACAAAAGGGCAATCCCCTAACCAAAACACTGCGTCAGCATCCCTGGCATGCGCGCACAATTTTGCGCTCGTAGTCGCTTTGTCTGACTGGAGCATTCCCCCGGGGGTGCGCAGCGAAGAACGCCGTGCACCAAGGACGCCGAACCTCGGTTAGGGGTACTCACCGGCCTCTCGGTGAGTCAGTATTGGAGCCGTGACAGGAAAGGAGGCAGAGGACACCCTGGTCCGTCGTCTGCTGCGGCCTTGCTGCGCCCCACTGGAGGCAGAGGCAGACAGGCAGAGGCAGGCGAGGCAAGGGGGCGCGGAGCGCGGAACAGGGCGTCTGCTGCGTCGCGACGCTCGAAGCGACGCCGCGGCGCCCTGGCGCACCCTCGCCACGCTGGCGCTCCCTGGTGGCCAAACTCGGCAACTGCCATTGGCGCACTCAAAACTCCCGGAAAAGGGAGAAAAGTCGCTGATACAGTCATATTTCGATTTTAAAACTAGCTTAGAACGGTAAGCATATTTTTTGAACTGTCTAACATCGGAAATCTGCAGGAGAGCAACATAAAACAAAATTCATTGAACCGGCGTAGCCTTCTCGAAATTGTACTGCGTCCGAACAGAGTTTGAGGTTGGCTGCCCGACGAACAAGTGCATAACCACACGTATGCCGTCTGTTCGGCGTAGTGTTGTTTGACAGTTTTGACGTGGCAGGTGCGTGACAAAGCCTTCGTTTATGGTATTCTTTTAGCTCATTTGCACCCAGAGCTCTAGTGTTTCTTTCGCCATGGGTTTAACTATCTCAAGCCTGTTCACGCGCCTGTTTGGCAAGCAGCAAATGCGTATATTGATGGTTGGCCTGGACGCTGCCGGGAAAACCACCATCTTGTATAAACTAAAATTGGGTGAAATTGTGACTACAATTCCTACAATTGGCTTCAACGTCGAGACCGTCGAGTACAAGAATATCTGCTTTACCGTGTGGGACGTCGGTGGCCAAGACCGCATCCGCCTGCTCTGGCGCCACTACTTCCAGAACACCAATGGTGTCATCTTTGTTGTTGATTCGAGTGACAAAGAAAGAATTGCTGAAGGCTGAGACTGAACTGCAAAACATGCTACAAGAAGAGGAATTGCGTGATGCAGTTCTCCTTATATTCGCCAACAAGCAGGATCTGCCTACAGCAATGAGTGCCGCTGAACTGACTGACAAACTAGGCCTGAACAACCTACGCAACCGTCGTTGGTATGTTCAAGCGACATGTGCCACACAGGGTAATGGACTGTATGAAGGATTAGATTGGCTATCCAATGAACTTGCGAAGAACTGAGTTTCAACATCGTACTCATTCTTCATTTCTGGACTTGTCAAAGCTGAACGCTTCTTAAATCCATCACTACTGTACGAGAGGGTGAACTTACAGAGAGACTCTAAGCGCTACAATGGGATCAATCAACTTGTGTTTCCGAAGATTGACGTGCCTACTTAGTTATTTATTCTGAAAATATTGTTCTTTTTCTTAAAATCAGATGTTTTATTTATTATTATTTTACCTTTCTGTGAAAGAGTGGCCTTTTTCTTGACAACCATCTGGAAATAATTTTTTTGAAAGTTACGCCTGATTGTGAAAAATGTTCGGATCAATGTAACAACCATTAGCTGATTTTTATCAGGGTAAATTGGTTTGGAGTACCCTTCCTCTTGATCTATGTCACTTAGATTTTCTGAAACTATTTTTAGAGTGTGGGCGGAAGATTGCCTTTTGCATCGGGTGTAATATTCTTCAATGCCAAATGTATAATTTAATATAAATTTGTCAGGCATTTAATAATTTTGTGAATGAACCCTGCTTTGCTAAATTATAGATTCTAGGAAGGGAGGGAAATGACTGTTACTTATTGTCCATTCCTTGTCATAAATATCATTTATTGTGTACCTTACTGGAGCAACTGTTTAATGCTAAAATCAATTTGGGAATGGTTTGAATATACATGCTGTGGGTTGCATTAAGAAAAATTGTTTTAGACATATGGAGCAATGATCATTAAGGCCATGAGTGTACCTTGTCCCATTTATCAGTAATATTGTGATCAATGAACCCTCGTTAAATTTTTTACATGTTTCCATGTATGGCTGATGTGTCATAGTTAAATTGATTTTCTTCTTCTAACATAGTGTATAAAATCTTTTAGTCGTCAAACATAGTTTATTCGAGTGCTGTCCAAATTATTGAAATCATCAATGATTTCCATTGAGTGAGGAGAAACATTCTTTGGAATCCTAAAGCTAGTGTTGTCATGCTCTCAAATACAAGTGTGATTATCTAAAACACTTTGTAATATTCAAATGGCCTCCTTCATAGTTTCATCTTCTTACTTTTTTAAAAATCTTTTTGTTTTTGCACAAAATTGTGTGGAGCTATTTAGTTTGGTTGCCAGCATTTACATAGTGTAGTGCAGTAATATCCTCAATTTTACAATAAATTTGATTCCTGTTCAGTATGGTAATTCATTGGGCTTGTTCATTTATATTGACCACAGTGATGCCAAGTGAAGAGTTGTAACAGTTTCTAAATCTAGTCAATATCTGTCCGTTTCTCAAGCTTAAGAATTATTTATCTTCTTTAGGCAGCCTGTTGTGATTACTGTATTGAAGCACCTTCCTCAAGGCTTGACTATTTTCAATGTAGTTGTGTGAATTAAGGGTTAGTGAAAATGAAGGTAACATAAGGCTAATTGTATTTATTCTAAGAAGAAGCAAGGTATCTTTTAAATGATTCATACTTGTTGCTGTGAGCATGGTAGGTAGGATTGCATAAATTATGTTCACTAAATTTGTTTCTCAGAAGATAGGGTTGGACATGTCCGAGTTTAAAATTTTAATCTAAGTATAGTTCAGTTATGGCTCTAGCCCAGCACTGTGTTTTCCTCCCTATGTCTATGTGTTTTTGGTAAGTTACATGTCTTGTTCTTGCAAGGCTTTTTGTGTTAAATGAAAATGTGATTGCTGTTGTGTGCTTTGGTTGTACATTATTATCATAGGAAGAATTATGAAAGTTTTACCATTATCTTTATATTAAATAAAATTTTAATAAGTATTAATTTGTCTCTCATTATTATAATCCGACCCTTGAATTTTCTGTAACCACATTCATATTCTTGTCAGTAGATTAAAATTTTTGTGCAATCCTTATGACCTCAGGACCTTAAGATCAAGATCTAGAAAAGGAAAAGGAATGTCACTGTGGCGAAGCCTGGAATGTTCATGCAAAGACTTGCAGTTGCTGATGACTCTTAGTGGAGGTCAATGCTTCAGGTAAGCAACATCTTCCTTTCAGGGCATTGGCCTGGTTAGGTTCATTAGCATTTGCATTTGGGAAAGCAGTATGGTAAACAAGTTAAGTCTGATAAAACATTTGTTCTAGGTGGCACAAAAATGAAGAAGGGGAATGGACTGGAGTCTTTGCTCAAAGAATATGGACATTGAAGCAAACTGATGAAAAAATTCTTTATCATGTTCAACATGCCACTAAATTAGCTCAGCCTAAATCAAAACCAAAGGTCAGGAGGAAAGAAACATTGGTGAGAAAAAAGCAGGCAGATACTGAATTAAATATTCTGGATAAAGATGCACTTCAGCTTGAGGATGAGAAGCTTCTTAAAAATTACTTCAGATTAGATTTTTCTCTGGATGAAATGTATGCTAAATGGGGTGAAAGTGACCCAAACTTCAAAGAAGTCGCATCAAAGTTTCATGGAGTGAGAATGCTCAAACAGGATCCAGTTGAAAATATATTTTCATTTATTTGCTCATCAAACAATAATATAGCAAGGTATGGCAAGTTTAAAAATTACTAGTTATTAAAGTGCAAACAATATGTGCTATTAAAATATAATAAGTTGTTAATATTTGCTACCCAAAGGATATCCGGCATGGTCGAAAAGATGTGCACATTGTATGGTGAAGTAATTGGAGAGAAAAATGGACAGTCATACCATGCGTTTCCTGATGTAAATCGACTGGCGGATCCCATAGTGGAGCAAGACTTGCGCACAGCCAGCTTTGGTTACCGTGCCAAGTTCATCCAGAAATCAGCTGAAATGATTCAGTCACTAGGTGGAGAATCATGGCTTCAATCCCTTCAGTCAAAACCGTACACAGAAGCCAAAGCTGCACTCATGCAACTGCCAGGGATTGGAGCAAAGGTGAGAAGTTTAAGTTTGAAGGATAGACTCTGTTTCAAATGAATACAGCAAAAATGTTCTCTTTAAATTATTTTGTTGTTGTTGTAGGTTGCTGATTGCATTTGCTTGATGTCATTAGATCATCTTGAAGCTATCCCAGTTGACACTCATGTTTGGCAGATAAGCTGTCGTTATCTGCCTCATTTAAAAAATTATAAATCTGTCACTGAGAAGGTGTATAATGAAATAGGAGAGTACTTCCGTGACCTTTATGGACCGTACGCTGGCTGGGCCCACACAGTAAGTTTCCATTTCAGTGACTATTTATGCTTGAAATCAACCAACAGAAATACTAATTCCTTTAAATTATGACTTAGGTTCTATTTTGTGCTGATTTAAAGATGTTCCAAGAGAAACCAGTAGGAGGTAAAAAGCGCAAAATCAACAGAGTTAGTAAAGAAGAGAAGCAGAAAAAATCTAGTTAATAATTCACATAGGTATTTTGTAACTTAGTCCTTTTTTAACCCATCTACTGCCTGGTGAATAGATTATTTAATGATTTTTTAAGTCACCCTGATGTTTTTGTACATTTACTTTTAAGAACTGTCACTAAATTGCCACATGATATTAGTCCAATACCATCATCATCTGCATCACATTGGTGGCTAAGATATACTCCAAAGTGAACATTATTCCGATTTATTTTAGAAAGAGTCCTTAAAGGCTCATTAGTTCTTTCACCTGTAGCTTGGTCTACACATACCACTCCACATCTTGTACAGGGTCCATCCACCTTTGATAATAAGAGAAACAGTAAGAAAATATAGTAATTGCAAAATTTTTTGGGAATAGTTTAACTGGTAGCTATAGATGGGACTTACCGTAAATTTTTGTGAACCAATTTTTATTTCAAGCCAATCCATTTCTTCAAAAGGTGTCTTCAAACCTTTCAAGACTAGGTTGGCTCGAAAACGGTTCACAAGACCTGTCTGTGAATGCAGAGAACCTTTCAATAAATCAGGCTTCCAAATGGAATAATTAATGAGATTTTAAAAATGTCATTTTACCTTGTCACATTCTTTAGAATCAATCTGATCTCCCAACCATGATACACTTTCTTCACTGATCATCAAAAACTGAGCTTTGTTTGCCAAGGCAAGAGACTTCTTAGCATCTGTCCACAAATTCACCACATATTATAACTGTGCTATGACAAAATAAGATATATAAAGGAAAAAAACTTCACCTTTCCCGGATCGTCCATCTTCATTGAGCTGACGAACCAATCTGATACCATGGCGCCCTAGGTTTGCTGACAGCCATGATGCTACTTGATCTCCACAGTCAATTCCTTTGATGCGGTCACCACACACTTTACTTTGACACAGAGAGCTTCTTGTTTCTTTGTCATTTGCTTCTATTGCCTCATCCAATGGAACTGACACCATATCAGACTGTCCTGAAAAATTCAAATGCATAAAGACTTATGCTTTTAACACTGTAATGGAATTGTATTTTGTTGATAAGATTTAACTTTACCAACTTACTCAAAAATCTAAGGTGCAGCATTTTATTAGTTAAATCAATATGTGGGTTGACAAGGGCTAAACGGGGCTCCAAAGACTGAGTCAAAGCTGTCCCAGAAGCAGATACAATCATCCATGTTCTGTCATAAATTAAACCTCGGGACCCAATGGGCCAGGCAGAACTAGGTTTAAAGCCTCCACAAGACTTGATTGGATACAGCACAACCTGGGATAATTCAACTGGACCAAGATCAACTGAGGAATCATGGCAGTGCAAATACCCCACATCATCAGCGGCATCATGCCACACATCTTGAGCATCATTTTCTTTAGATGGGGCTTCATGTTCCACAAAACACTGGTAGATCATGTTAAGGAGGGCAGTCACATCCTCCTCTGTAGACATGTATCCAAAAGATATACGTACAGTACCCGTTGGGACTCCATTTATGATATCATTTCGGTCCCCACATACATGACCTGCCTGTTTAAAAAAATATTTTTATTTGTTATGTCAATGTGTGATGTTATGTTAAACAAACTTATTAAGAGATTGAACTACCTCAAAATGGGATTTAAGTTCATTTTCAGTCAAACCAAGGTGTCGCTGACATGCCCCTGGATTACAAAAGCAACCAGTACGTAGTTGTATTTTGTGACTATTGGCCATATTCATAACCTTCAAAAATAAAATGGATTATTGGCAGCTTGTTAAAAATAATTGCTTTGTAGATTTAAAAAAAAAATTACCTTGCTGTATCCAACATAGCTCCCATCTGGTCGTAACAAATTGAAATTCACAATGGCCCCTTGAGTGTCAGGGTCTTCAAAGTCATTATCACAGTACAGTATTGCTACTGGCTTATTATTGTAGTGGCTTAAATTTTTTAAACTGTGATGAGCACGTCTAGCGAGAGAAAATGAGTGGCGCCTCACATTATCCATGGACCCCATCAATCTTGTAAGGGTATCTAATCCATGGCCAATGGCTATTATTGACAGAAATGAAATGGTTCCATCCTCAAACCTGTAAAAAGGAAGTAAAAAATTTGAATTTTAGTAATTTTTTTTAGAAACATTGGTGTTTTTTGTTTGTTTTCTTTTGAGGAAGTAAATTACCTCTCATGAAGGCTTGGTCGTAGTACGTGATTTCTGACTCCACTCATTGCCATCAGAACAGTCCCACCCCCAAAATATTTTTTTTCAGAAAGTAAGTAGCTGCTTGACCGTTTTACCAGCAAAGCACCTAGTCCAGTGGGGTACCCAAACATTTTGTAAAAGGATATTGAGACAAAGTCTGGTTGGCAAAGTGATAAGTCCAAGGGGCTGGTCCCTACAAGTGATGCAGCATCAAGAAGGCAAGCCCAATTGGACTGTATACCTGCAACTGGAAGATCAAGGAAAAACATTTAAATCTCATAGAAGGAATACAATGACATAATTTTCAAGGCTAAAAATAATTATAACCATTGTTTAATGTTCCACATTGGGCCATTTTCACCCAATGCAAAGGTGTCTTTGCTCCAGAAAAATTGCATTGGCCAGATATGGCAAAGAGTGAATTTGTACCATCAGAGTTGCTGTTTGCCTCAATGCTTCTTCTACAATTCTCCTCGGAAAATGTCTTCTCTAGTGCTTTCAAAGACAGATTCAATACTGATGAGCTTCTATCAGCAACAACTTCCCTCATGCCAATAACAGATGTATGATTCTCTTGTGCATAAACAAAAACTCCCTTTTTGTCTGAAAAAAAAAAATTATTAAGAAAAAGCTTGCTTGATTTAAAGAGATAACTATTTTAAAACAGGAAAAAAAATCCAACTCTTTTCCTTTTAGTGTTTAAAGAATGCAAAGCCTCATACCAGACCCAAAGTTGAAACTTTCTGCTAGAAGTTTGACAGCATGAGTGGCACCAGAGGTAAATATAATGTCATATTCATCCATGTTGGTGTTAAAATGCTGTAGGACTCTGGGGAATAAAATTTAAAAAAAATAAAATGGAATGAGATTTAAATGATATCGTCACTCTTTCTTGGAAATCGAGTTTGTCAAATCAAAACCAAAATACCTGTAGCGAATTTGATCTACAATATCATTAGTGTATTTGCATGTTGTGCTCAGGGAGTGAGGATTTCCATACACCGAACTACAGAAATCTTGCATGATGTTTTGCATTTGTAGTTCTGAATAAAGAGTGGCAGCCGCATGATCCAAATAGTGACTGCCTGAAAATTTTAAAACGCATCAATAATTTTTGAATTGATGGAGACAAATACGGGGTGACATATTTTACTTTGTTGACTGCCAGCATAACATGACTTGGCAATCAGCATATGAAAGAAACAAAGCAAATCAACAGGTGTTACATAATCATGCGACCAAGTCAAATACCAAATGATTTATTTTCATCAGAGTACCTTTAAGGCGACGAAATTCTTCAGAGACGACCATGTCACAGCGATTTTCTGTACTTATGAGTGACTCTGTTTTTTAGATTTTGCATTAACCAATTTAAATGCTCAATCAAAACAAAACATGGGTAATCAGCTGATTTGTGTCCCAAAGCCGAGGTACCGAACTGAGCGCCGAATGCACCTCTCTCTCTCTCTCACTCGCCCGCTCCGACTACGAAGCAGCTCATTGGACGAAAGCGAGGGTGTTGACTGAACGGTTCTCTGCCAGTTGTCACTGTGTGAGATAACGCGTTAGCAAATGGGAAAACATGGGCGATATTCTTATCTATGCTTATCCCTATCGTTGTGACGACGAGAGCGCAACACGTAAGCATGTAACGGACTACGTTGCCTTAGAAAATAGATCCGACTTCCCCCACCACAGACGGCTGCATCTCGCTCCGCCCGCTCACCACCACCACACCACCACACACATCCTCGTGCGTGATCGTGTAGAGTCGAGCCGAGAGTTTTGCTCTGGCTCCCTCCATTTTGAATTGTAGGCGTTGAACTTTTACCGCTCTACGCCTATTTATCCTTGCCTGAAACACCACCTCCTCCTCCGCAATATCCTCCTTGAAATATCCTTTGAGTTATTTTTCCTGGACCTGCCCATCTTTTCCTCATTTCATCAAGGTATGTTCTATGCTTCCTTTATTTATTTGCTCCCCAACCTTGCCACTTGTTCTGACCTCTTCGTCTTAAAACTCTTTGAGGCGAAAGTAAATAAGTAAAATAACTTGAAATTTATTGAGGAATCAATTTTTGACAGTTGACATTCAGAAAAGTAAAGTTTGAATGAGTGAGTATTTGTTGGGCTCCTATCAGTGCCGGCTACATAACCGCAAAGATACACGTATGCATACGCATTGTAAGGGCACTCAGGCCTTTTGTTTGTTTTCGAGTTACTTTTTCTCTTACAGTATTTGACGGGTATGCGGGTGTCACTAGATTTTCAATTTAAGGTACTTTCATTTTGTATCTGTGTACCCGAGTGTCAATGTCCTGATCTCCAGAATTTTGTGCAAGGGACGTTTAAGCCTGCTAGTGCCCATGAAGGTCAGAAGTTCACTTTTGAGATAGTCATATCTCGAAAATTAGTTATCTTCTGCAGATTTTGTCACATTCTTGCCCTTGGCCTGATGTTTACTTGTTTATTTCATTGTCAAAGATAAGTTCTGGTTCAAGTGGTCATGGTTGATTGCCTATGTTTACCTCCTTTCCTTCAGGTTAGAAGATCCTGGCTCCAACCCTCTTTGCCCTTATTTTTCTCTCCTGGTTTGCTTTTTATGTTGTTCATTATTTTTCCCCATCAGTTTTCTTGCTCTTATCATTTTCATCCACAATTCCCCTCCTCTTTTCTCTTCCACACCTGTTGTCTCCTCACCTACTCAATTTCATTAGTTTGAAATATTCCCTATCATTCCAATCCGCACAAATCAGCAAATAAAATTTGATTATTAAGGATGCCTACCTTTATTTAACCTGAGTCACAAATCAGGAACTCATCTTATTTTTGAACACAGCAAATGTTTGTTTTTCTTCAACTTTTACCTATTCATTCATCTCGCAGGTCAAGTGTCTCGTCAAATTGTACAGTAAGTTGTTTCTTGTTCTGCTCTTTTGTATTCTTTCAACCACTTTTCTTGGACATCTTTTCTTCACTGAGCTCTCTGCTCTAGTTATTCAGCCTTGTAAGACTGCACTCTTTCTAAATTTATCTTCATAGACACTTAGCTCCTCTTTGCTATTTCTCCTAGGATTTCTCATGGCAAATGAAACTTTGTGAGTTATAATTTCCCCTCTGTTCTGTAGAATTTCACATGAATAAATAGACCTTTCTTCAGACTACCCACAAGAGCATGTTAAAGGTATTTGTTAGGTCATTTCATTTCGCTTCAAGAAATTCATGACAAGTGTAACAGCTATCCCTCAAATAAAGAGTTATGTAGAAGATCAACTCTGAAATAAAAACTAATTGGAAATATTTCTGAACTTTAGTTTATATTGTCATCATATGGAGACCTGCTGTGTGACTCATGGAAATCTAGAGTCGCTTTGGGCAAAGATGGTTGCAGCCAGGTTCTTCATGGAGTATTTAGTTTATTATTTAAGTTAATTATGTAAAAATTTGAACCCTGTGCTATTTTAAGAATTGTTGGGTCCCCTGAATTTGCTGCAATGCTATTGTACTAGTGAAATAAGTTCAATTGTAGCTTGCGGGGCCAAATTACTTATCACCTGCTGAATTGGCATAGCTTGCTACTTAGATTTTAGTGGTTGTGGGATTATTTTTGTTTTGTTTTGTTCCTTTTGCTAGGTCTACTGAGACTGCTTTGCTTGTTGGCCAAATGGTGAGCTTCTCTTCATAGAGAAAGAGACGTCTCTTTGAGTTTCTCATTTATATTTTAGAAATGGGAGTGAATAGCAATTACACTTTGGTGGAATGACTGTGAGCCGAAGACTTCATAATTCAGTATAGTTGTGATCCCGCATTGCTGTATGGCTTTGCTCCTTTTCTTTCTTTTTTTTTTCTTTCCATTCGCCGTTCATAGGTCACCTATTTAATTCCGTCGCGGCGCCCCGGCATTCCGCCCGTCTTTGGCTCCGTCTATAACAGCGTGACATTTGAAGCGGAAGTTGGTTTTTGAGGTCCGTGGCTCGGCGTGGCGTGGCATGGCGTGGCGCGGTCGAGTCTTGGGCGGGGCGGGGCTGCCGAGGCGAGGCGACCGCAGCGCAGCGTGCAGCGGGGAGGCTATTCTAGTGGGGAGTGTGTTGACACCGACGACATGGACCGCACCGTGGACACGGCAAGCGAGGGCTTGCTGGGCTTGCTTGGCCTGCTGCTCGTTGAGTCATGCGCTTCACTGTTTATCTTCCAGAGCCCCTTTGTGCCTCGCGGTGGTCAAGCCAGGTCAAGCCCGCCGGCCCCGAGCCAGCCTGGCCGGGGGCGCGCGCACACACACACACACCAGACAGCTGCGATCCGGTGAGCTCGTTAAGAATTTAGCCCTCCGTGATTGGCTGTCGAAGTTGCTCCTAGCGACAGGGCTGCCCCTGCCGAGCGGCGCTACCCTCGCTCGGCCGTCCCCACCCTCGGCGATACCCCGCGCGCAGGCCGGGCAGGCGGCAATACCCCCTGCCGGCCTGCCGGCTCGTGGCGAGCGGCCCCTTCCTCTGCTGCCTGCTTGTTTATTGTTTCCCTGCTCCACCTGCAGGTCCCGTAGTCCCGTCCCGTCCCGCGGGGCCGCACGGGGCCCGTAAACGCCGGGATGGGAGCAAGCAGAGCAAGTGGCCACTTGTTGGGGATCATCTAGGCGTCGAGAATGTGAATCGATGTGGGCGTGTCGGGCAAACGCGGCCTCTTTCTTTGAGGCCGAGGCGGGCCGAGGCGACGCGCGAGTCAAACAAATGGCTCGATTACCGCGAATGCTAGCGCGGCAGCGCCGGCGTACACGTAGTTTGCGTTTGGAAGATTCGTCATCGTCAGGACCGCAAAAAGGGCAACGCATTTGTTCCGTTCTGTCGGGCCATTTCGGGACTTCCCCCTTCTTTGTCGCTTTGCACGAGGGACGCGGCGCGTGGCGCACGTTTTCCGAATTGTTGCGTGTCTCGCCGAGTCGGCTTGCCTCGGCAGGGCCTCGCCAGTGGCGTGGCAGGTTTGCGGTCCGGGAGACGTGCATCGGAATGCGGCTGGCATTTACTTTATTTCAGGGCAGCGGGGCCGTCCCGTCCGTCCCGTCCCCTTTCGTTGCTCTCCGCTATTTTGACAATTCCTTTCGGACCAGGGAGCCGCTCGCGCTGTGTGTGTGTGCGTGTGTCTGTGTGGCGAAAGGAACAAAGTGGGCCGGTTTCTCGCCGCCGTTCTCATCGGGGTGGGCCTTCCCTTGGTTAATTATCCGCGCGAAACCCAAGTAGGGTGAGGGCGGCCTGCTGGGCCTGCTGGGCCTGCCTGGCCTACTGGGCCTTCCCTCCGCTCGAGGACACTTCTTCGTGTGCCGAGTGCCGAGCCAATAGTACGATCGATCCCCGAAGCCCCGCGCGGATCCCTGGGCCTGGCGAGAGGCCTGCCGCGCCCCGAGCCCTCCCTGCAGCGGGTACTGCCCCTGTAGAAAGTCGGGAGAGCTCCTTGGAAACATTTTGATGCCCAGTGGAGCGTTTTCGAGGCTCAAAAACTCGTCCGACGGCCGGGCTGTTTAGCGTCCGCCGAGTTCGGCTGAGTCCTTCCAGCGTGTTGACGGCGAGGCACTGGTCGGGGTCCGTGGCGGTGCGCTGCGCAGCGGGGCGTGGCTGAGTGGGGACCACTGCCACGCAGCCGGTTGGACCGGCCGCTTCGGGTTAGTTTGACGCCGCGCAGCGCAACCCGATGGAACCGATGGAACCCCTGGACTTGCTCACTGCGAGACAGTGCCGGATGTGCACCCTGCATGCAGCGTGCCTCGCCAGCACTTTTGGAGGCAGCGGTACTGCCGCTCGGTGGGGCTTCGTGCAGCCCCCTGTGCCGGGCCCGGCCGGGCCGCGCGCCCTCGGAAGGGAGGGGCAGGAATGCATGGCTTCGCGGATCATCCGCCCTGAGCCCCTGGCCGCCCCGCCCCACCCCGCCCCACCCCGCCGCACTCCTGATCCGATTTTTCATTTACGTCCTACAGTCGTCGCGAAACTTGCACGTAGCTTGGGATGCGCGACGCCTTTCTCGTAGTGGTGGCGTCGTCCAGCGACCGCAGCCTCAGCCGGACACACTGCCGGTGCCGGGCTCCCGGGCGCGAACACTGTCTTGTTTGCCTTTGCCGCCGCCCGGGCGCGCCCCTGTCGGAGCGAAGGTGGCGCCGTAATCCCGGGCTGAGCTTGGCCTGGCCGAGGCTGGCCGGCCGAGACCACCAATCACCCGCCAATCGGACGCCAGCAGCCAACAGGAAATTGGAGTAACAAAAGTGGCTTCCGCCCGGCCCAGTATTTTTCCTTTTTTCCTCTCTCGTCAGGCAGTCCGGTGGAGTGGTCCGAGTCCGCTTGCTCCGTTCCTGGTGGCCCCGCCGAGGAGCCGGGCCGACACTCCACCGCGATGTAATCCGCGCGAACCGGCGCGAAGCACTCCGCCGCGAAGGGGGCGCGCGGCGCGCCACACGCCAGTCGGGCGACTCAGAAGAATCGCTCCGTCTCCGTCGCACTCATGGGGTTCTCCACCAGGGTGCGACAGAGACAAACCTATCTTCTGAATCGCTCGGCAGGGTCGTGGAGACGGGAAGGCGATGGCTTTGGGGTTTTAAACACTGGTCGCTCTTTTTGAAGGTTGGCCACTGCGCCGCCCTGTAGTACGCCAGGCCGGTCCAACCGGACGTGATCCCTTTGTCTGAGCAGTC